TACACTATATAGGAACCACTATATAGTGCCCTATATAGTACACTATATAGGAACCAAAATATAATGCTCTATATAGTACACTATATAGGAACCACTATATAGTGCCCTATATAGTACACTATATAGGAACCAAAATATAATGCCCTATATAGTACACTATATAGGAACCACTATATAGTGCCCTATATAGTACACTATATAGGAACTTCAATAAAGTGCCCTGTATAGTAACCACTATATAGTGCCCTATACACTATAGTGGTTAGGGCGGTCTTTCGGACTGACAGACCCTTAAGCCTTAAGCCATCAGTGGGTTGCACATTGGTCCCTCCGTGGCCTCTTTAAAAAAATTTCAGGCGGATGTTCTTTGGTGGCACAGTGGTTACAGCAAACGACCCATTTACGGAGGCCTTGGTCCCTGACGTGGATCGACCCGGGTTCAAATCTGGTCTGTTGTCCTTTGCCGCATGTCTCTTTCCTCTCTCTCATAGCCCCTTTCCTGTCAGCCTACTGTCCATAAAAACGAGCCACTAGTGCTGTAAAAGTTCTGGCTAGGCCACTGATTATGTGGGGAACCAGATTTTCTGGGTTCCCACCCAATCGCTGGGTGCTTTTATGGAGTGAGTTTTGTTACATAATTGTTGCAAATAAAAACCCATTTGGGGATGGGAATTTTGAAAAAAAAAAGGCAATCCAAAAATGCAAGTTTGAAAAAGTATGGAAATAAAAAAAAACATTTTCATGTAACTGTTTTTTTCCTGGTTCAGTGAAAGATGCTTGTTTACATTAGACTTAAGCAGGTGTTATTAGCCTGAAAATGACAGCAGCACTCTACTTGCATCCACCCCAAAGGTTATTTGAACCAACAAATTCTGGCATCTGGCTGAAGAGTACATTTTAAAAGTTTGGGGAGTTACATTTCAAGTAGTTTGAAAAGTTGATTAGGAGTAGCATTGGGGATGGTAAGACATTGCAGTGGACACATATTTACAACAGCTGCTGTAAACGTCACTGCTCATTTTTGAGCAGGCTTTACAGCTTGACAGTTTATAGCAGAGGGTGGTTTGGGTCCACCGACCTCTGGGTTATGGGCCCAGCACGCTTCCGCTGCGCCACTCTGCATTCCTCAAGAGAAGACGGAATTGGAAGGCAAAATCAATTATTTATGGTTTGGCTTTGTTATGCCATACATCACAACATTAATTTTGGACATTTTGGAACAATCTGCATGCAGATTTTAACTTTGAACATCTGTGGATTAAACTATATAGTTTTGCTATGCTGCACCAATCCTCAAGAGTAACAAATCCACTCTCCAAAAAGCATTTCCTTGGTGGACAGGCGAAGAAAAAAAAGCTACCACATGCTTGCCCATTCTGTATACCCGTGGGATTCCAGAGGTGCCAACATGGTGAAACAAAAAGACAGTTTGTCAAAATGGACCTCCCTCTTCAACTCCAGCTAGAGTGATACAGTTCTGAT